TTGTAGAGAAAGGCACAGTTTCCCACACCTCGGAAGAACCTATAAGGACCTCCACTGAACCTCCACTGAACTTATAGTTTAGAGCGAGGCATGTTTGCTAACTGAACCACAATGTTTGTTTTACCAAGAACAACTACCTCTAACTACCAATATAAAATTCAAAACAAAGGTAGTAGAGTGATTACAACATCACCATCATCGATTACTTCTCTGCACATTAGCGGTGGGGTGGGGGGGTCAGATCCTAACCTGTTGTTGGTCTTATTCTTCTCCATCTGCTCACTTTGGTGTACGTGCCAGTCTTCAAGCTCCTTCTTCGCTTTCACTCTCCATTCTTCCTCCGCTGCCTTGGATGCCGAGTCTTATTAGGACGCAAGAAAGCAGAAACGTCACACAGTTGTATTACATTTAATTTCTTCTGTTTCTATGTGTGACACAGATCTTTTCTGATTAGTTTAAACTTTATCACCAGTGTGTTGAAAGCCAGTTTAGCCTCTAACAGAAGGGCAAATAGCAGTACAGTGAAGTGTTAGTAAATACGTGTGAAATGAACCAGGGACCTTGTAAGGAAAATAAGAAGAATCATAAGAGCTACACAGCACTAAGTGCATTACACACAATCACTGACAGCGGCAGGGAAACATTGTTACCAACCTAATGCTTCAAGGCGTGCCTTCTGCTCCTCCCTCCATTTGCGTAAACTTTCAGGTTCTTGCCTTTGAATATCCACCTGGGCGATGGCTGCGTAGCTGTCTGTTGGGCCATTGGACTCCTGTTGGGGTACGCAAAACATGTACACCATTAGAAGCAGCTATTCGGTTCATTTATGCGTGAACGCCACAGCAAACCCACTCCTTCATCACATGATTACGGTGTTCGGAATAAAACTCAACCACACATAGGTTATATAAAGAGACAGACAAGACTGAAGCTCACCTGAAACAGGTCTCCATTCAACGTGGCAGGCTCTTCAAACCCGTCTAGCATTTTTTTTTTAAAAAACAAAACAAAAAAATACAGATATAAGTTTAGATGAACTTCTTGGAGTTTATCCGCTTATACTTCCTTGCTATCTGGAGCGACTTATGCTCGCTGCTACTACTACCGTGGTGTAACTTTTGGTCTCGAAACGGATAAGACTTCAGAAATGCAGCAACACCTGTTTGGTTACCTGCTTAATATTGTCTGGGCTGCTTTGTCGGTTAGAAGGCCAGTAGCACTTGTTCGCTTGCTTAGTTTTAAGGTGCTAGTGTCACATAGCTAATGTTATGCGGGATAGCGTTAAACAAAACCTACGTTGTCGCAGCTAGCTAAGCTACAAGGCTAACGTACTGTTAGTTTGAATCTAAATAGGAAGCAATAAGAGTGTTAACCACTTATATCAGACAGCGGTGTTGTTAACATATGGCGGTGGGGCCTTTGTTGGCTAACTACTAAGCAAGTTACCGATGCAAGTTCCTGTATTAGTATTAGCTAGCTCTAGTTAGCTTTGTTTGCTCGTTAGCTGACGTTAGCTCAGGGACAAGCTTGCCATAGTTGTCGGTCTGCGGCTGCTGAACACCGGCTCCTTCTAGGATCCCAAATGCGTCGCCATCGTTTTCTATCCCCGCTATCTCATTCTCCTGTTGAGCCAGGAAAGCGGCGGCCGGGTCCTCTTCAGTCGGGTGCGCTCCGTTGTCAGCCATCTTTCACAAAAAGTGTAGAAGTTTGACTGAGCTTGCTTAGCTTGCTAAACGTTAAAGCCACAAAAAATCAGGCCACCGAGCTCTGCAACGTTAATAGTAACAACTTAAAAATTCGATTAGTGTTATCTATTCTGAATATCGCTTGGAAAAATAGAGTCAGCTAGTAAAGCATACGGAACAAACAATCTACGCGTCGATTAAAGGCCGTAACTGATGATTCATTATTTCTTCACTTGTTCAACCAGTATGTGTATGATGATAGAGCAGGGGCAGCACCCCGAGGGGACCTTTACATTTTGTTGGAGTTTGTCGCCATCTGCTGGCCATCTGCAGCACAGCACTGTCATCTCAAGGGTTGTAGTGCTAATGCAGTGACAGTAATAAAAAAAATATATACAAACCTTATATAGCACAATTTATAAACAGAAATGGAAAATGGTTCTTAAAAGCATAAAGGTTATGCATTCACCCCCCCTGCAGGAAAATGAATATCCTCAGCAAAATCTACATGAGTGGATCATTAAAAGGGAGACGCAGCAGACATCCTCACCACTTAACTGGAACACCTTCAGATCCTCCCTGCCACCTGCTTCTGGATCAAAGATTTCCTCACTAACCGCCCCCAATCAGTCCGACTTTGCCCCCACCTCTCCCCCCACTCGCTGTCACTCTGCACCAGATCCCCCTATTGTATGCCCTCTACACTGATCTCAACCCACCCAACCAACATAGTCGTCAAATATGCTGATGACATACTGGGTTCATCTCTGATGGAGGCGTACAGGGCAGAGGTAGAGAAACTTGTCACACTGGTGCTCAGAAAATAACCTAAAGCTGAAGGTCCTTAAAACAAAAGAGCTCACCTTGTCCTCCGCTGGCCTTCTACTGCTCCACAGTGGAGCATGCTCTCCTACTGCCTGGGTGTTGGGTACGCAGGGGCCACAGCTGAGAGCAGGAAGGATGTGCAAATGTAATTAACATCGCCCAAAAAACCATTGACTGTCCTCTGCCAACCCTGGAGGCCAGGTCAAGATCTCTGGTCAGTCAGGTCCTACACCTCCAGACTCACAAACAGCTTCTTCTCCTGGGCCATTTGGACTGTTAAACACTCAACAAACACCCACACCCCACACCTGCCCACTCACCTCACCATGGTTTGAGTAATCCTCATCACTCAGGTGACTCACACACTGTCTATTCAGACCATGTATTTTCTTTACACTGCTTCCAAGCACTTTGGAACTTGTTCTCTAAAGTGTGCCTTTCTCTTATTTTTGTATATACCCCTCTTGACTCTATATATTTCTCCTGTTTGCTATTTACTCCTGCTACGGATCTTATTAACGGCCTATGCTTTGCATTTATGATCATTAGTAATGACCTTTCAGTAATGGTCGATGTGGTTAGTGTTAGTGGAGTTTTGTACCATTTAAAAATCCATAATTGGAAAAAACAGCACTGGATAAACAGTTTGGGGACAAAGTTAAAGAGACGAGGCTGATATGGTTTGGATACATGCAGAGGATACTGTACAGTAATGCCACTGTTTTGCACATATTCAACTCTGTATATTTTATATATTTTATTATTATTATTATTATTATTATTATTATTATTATTATTTTATTTTTTTTACTATTTAATTTGTAAAAATGTGTATACACACACACACACACACACACACACACACGTAGGAAAATATTTAGTATACACATCCAGAAATGCATACACTATTATATATTGTACATATATTTATTAGTTTCAGGTTGGCCATTCTTGTATTTTGCTCGTTTGTGTTGTTGTGTTTGCACATCTCTGTTGCTTGTGGGGCTCGCACACAAGAATTTCACTCGCATGTGCTGTGCCAGTGTGCCTGCACATGTGATGTGACAATAAAAAGTGATTTGATTTGATTTGATTTGAGGAGTGATAGTAGATATAGTGGACAAAGGATATTGAAGATGGAGCTGTCAGGCAGGAGGAAAAGACCACAGAGGAGATTCATGGATGTAGTGAAGGAGAACATGCAGAGGGTTGGTGTGGCAGAAGAGGATGCTGGCGATAGGATGAGACGAAAGTTGTAGCGACCCCTAGAGGAAGCAGCTGAAAAAAGAAGATACGCATTAATTATTGCATAAATCTGGCTAGAACTGATATAGTGTCTGTCATATGAATGTTAATAATAAATATTACCCTCCTCAATTGTTCAAAAGAATCCTTTTTTAACACCTGTTTTTGTTTGCGAACAGAAAGAATTACGGTTTTTTTGTTGTTGTTGTTTTTCTTAACTGTTACGTTAAGCAAAAGAAAACAACTCCATTTGCAGGTGCTGATAGCGCCAAGGGCACGAAACAGCATACCCATTGTAGTGGAAGTTCCGTTAGGTTTCACAGCGAGCGATGTGTATGATCGTTTTGTGACTTCCTCCCCTTTCTTTGGAATGTACAAAGGTACAAAAGAGCGAGAGCTCCACTTCTGTTCCAGGGACTGCGATTGATGATATGCGCATGATAATAAAGAGTGTTGATTGCAGCTGACCGTATCTGCGTACTTTCTTAACTTTTTTTGTTTTGTTTTGTTTTTTGGTGAGACGTTTATCCACTTATCCGTTTTCCTACCAAGGAGCTTCCCTCAAAAATGTTTCACAAAAGCATTTTCAAAGAAAATATAAACCAGAATCAGAATACTTTATTAATCCCGAAGGAAATTAGGGAAATTATAAAGCCAAACATAGTAGCACTTGCAGTAGAAGCAAATACTGCTTCTTCTTCTTTCTTTTTTTAAAAACTAACTTCACTTTTCTTTTTTATTTTACAGACTCTTGCGCTATTTCATAGTATAAGGCTCTTACCATGCAGGCACCAGTGAAACTTTCATTTTAACTGTGTTGTTTATTGTAGACGTATATATCTGTTTCTCTCTCCATCTAGGATAAGTCATGTCAAATTAAGTTACCTATTACTATTAAATAGTAATGGCTTAGCTATAGCTAAGCCATTATTATTTACTGTACTTACTATAGTAAGTACTTACTATAGTAAGTACAGTAAACAGCGTGTGTAAAAAGTTATTCTTCAGGGGCGGTGTCCTGGATTAGTTCATGTTTATCCCTGAGGCATAGTCTTATTTATTTATTTATTTATTTATTTATTTATTTATTTATTTATTTATTTATGTTCCTTTAGTTAAAACCGACGGAGTGATTGAGAAAAGCTGTTTCAGGGCGGCTATGATGAATGGCTTTAGTAGTAGCAGCTGATGAGTGCAACTCGGCCTCTGAGTGAAATGAAGCCTCCGCCCATGTGACTTCTGACGTCTCAGCAGAGTCCTGCTAAAAAGAATTTGAGGGAATGAGTTTGCTGCTCACCAGGGGGATCCACGGCGGCTTCCTGACGTTTGCTTCAAGGAAGTCTGAAAAGTTGCCTGCTTGCCAACCCACTTATCAAATTTTTTAATTATTTTTAATCCGGTACACTCGTGATGTCCGGCGAGCACAGAGAGACACAAGAGGTAAGCTAATGCATCTTTGTGTGTTTGTGTAACTTCTTCAAACCAGCTTTTTCCCCACAGAGGAGGTTTGTATGGGTTAAGCTGGTGCTCCAAACTGTGCAGGCTCATGCTTCTGGCCATCTTCCCCGAGTCCCTGCTGCTCTGTAGCTGTGCTAACTACTTTGTCAGAGCCGAGAGTTTTGTCCGGTTTTCGTGTCCCGTGTTGTCGCGAGTGGAAACCTGGCTGTCTGCGGCGGTGTTAACCGGGATACAGCGTGGCCTTTAATTACCGCTGGGAAATTAGTGTGCTAGACGCATTGAAGAAACCCGTGTAAGCTCGTAATTGCGTAGCGTGTTAACCAAAAATTCCCTGTATTTGAGCTCTCATTAAGAGCAACACGAGTTCCTATAGAACTAATGCAGCAGCTGCAATAATATAGAAGATTATAAATAGCAACACCATAAGCATGGGGATGAGTGCCACACATTTATTGGCTTAAAACTGATGCTTTTATTTTCTTGCCTATCATACAGGGTGGTGTTTAATTAAGTAGAGTGCAGTCACATTAATGCTGTAACTTCCTCCGCTTTAATACAGTCTGAGTAATCAGCTTTCAGTGTGGTGTTTGTCACCAGTGAAATCTAGCCTCCATTACCTGCTGCTCCTGCTGCAGGTCTTTCTCTGTCGCCTTATGCTCCTCTGTATCATAGTTCATTTCCCTGGCTCTGAGAAAAACTAATTTAAGCTTTGCCAATAAAGAGTCAGGTTTGTACAGATCTAGAGGCTGCATTGACAGTGAATGAATGCGAATGCAAGTCTTTTTTTATTTTAAGGATTTCCATTAACTTTAGCAGATTTGCAGGTTTTCTTAGTGGGATTATTTGGGGTGCTAGGCTGGATTAAAGGCTAGATTTTCCTTATCTGTGAGCACACCACTGTCTCACCAGCCTTTACAGTGTGTGTGAGCGGCTCTGTTGCTTTAAGAGCTTGATGTTAAAGTATAATTGCTGAGGGTTTTTTTTTTTTTCTTGCTTGTACTATGTTTCATGCCCTACAGAAAGAATGTAGAGGGTTGTGTGCTTTGCTTCATTTGTGGCCGTCTGCCGTTTCCCAAGTGCAATGAACTTAGAGGAGGAGAAAAAAAAATCTCCTGGCCCGTGCCAGAATCCATGGGTCGTTGACGTTACCTCTCTCCATCCTCCTCTGCCCCCCTCCTCCTCCTCCTTCTCTCCCTGTGACTCATGTGGGTGTTGGGCTGAAATAGTTTGGTGTAGTTTTACATTCCTTATATAGCCTCTGAGGAGTGAGGAGAGGCTACGGCTTGCCTGTGTCACAGTCAGGATCGAGGGGGTAGGGTTTGCCAACAGAGAGGGAATCTGCTTGCTCCAGCTTACTGACTCTTTAGCTTTCTCCCAGGTTTGGGCTACCAGCTGACCTTTGAGGACAAGGTAGGTGGCATAGCTGTGTGTCACGGAGACCTGTGACACCTGGTAGGTTTGTGGAAGAGGAGGAGGAGCAGGGCTAGAGTAGCCGTGTGAGCACAGAGGTCAGTGGTCAAACCCTAACTCTGTGTAAGCCACTAACAGAGGGCTGCATCTCATGTTGCCCTTTGGTTCTTAAAACTACCTAGTTATTTAGTGCCTTGCCGCAGACTGACAGTAATTAATTGCGGTGAAGCCACGATACCTGTTACCTGGCTGAATACAGCAAGTGGCACATTATCCCCCCCGAAGGAGGAGTTGTTGCTGCTATTGTTGTGCAGTAGATCTTCTAAATGCTGCACATTGGTGCTGCAGTAGACTGAAATGAATTAAACTCTAACTTCACCTTAGAGTTTAGCTTTAGATTATGACACCAGGCTATTTGTGTGTTTTGAAATGTGTAAAAATGGCACGTCCAACTGGCACTGCTCCCTCTTTATTGCCTAATTTTGACGTGCCGTAACATGGTTATTCCTAAAACTAAGACGTGACATTATCTGCTGTAAAAGAAAACAACTTGAGTGTTATTTTCTGTATGCTGTGTGTATGTGTGCTCTTGTGGGCTGGTGGTGCTGAGAGCCAGCAGATAGACCGTTTCAGATAAAGCAAAATAATAAAGGACCTTGAGAACCTTTTCCGGGCTTTCTGGCTAATTAAGATGTTTCCTTTCCCCCTTTTTTTTTTTTCTTTCCTCAAGGGTATGAATACGTACTCTGTAACCCTCAGCGGCTCGCCGCCTTGGGGCTTCAGGCTGCAGGGTGGCAAGGACTTCAACATGCCTCTCACCGTGTCAAGGGTAAGAAAGTGCACATGGAATCAGCTTTTGTACTTTTTTTGCATCTGTGCAGAGCAGCAGTTGAGGTGTTTGCACTCTCCTCGGAGATTTCCTCTAAGCTTCTATGAAAGCCTCGGCCTGTTAACAAGAGTCTGTTGGTTTTAAGTACCAGCTTGGCCACCTCAGTCATCAGGGCTTACCCTGCCTCAGCATATGCATGTGTCACATCACTTTTTTTCTTTTTCTTTTTATTAGGCACGGATAGTAAAGGGTTTTGTCTACAGAAGCATTTCCATACTATTCAAATGTTTTTATGGCTCATTTTGGTAACCCTTCCCGATCTGTTCTAACATGCAGTTTCTTTGCATGACACTCCTGCTGTGTGCTTTGTACTCTGTGTGTTCGCTGCCCTCCTCCTTCCCTGGACAAATTTTCAGATACTCTTTTATAAACTTCTGTTGCTATTGACGAAAGCGGCGACCACTTTCCAGCCCATATAAGTGCAGAGCTGCTTTGCCTGACAAACATACAGACTCGCACTTGCAGCTACGCACACAGACGCCTGCACATTGCACACACATAAAATCATTCCAGCTTTCCTGCCAGCTATTGCTCACACAGATCTAGTTTTCTACTATGCGCTCGCTGGTTTTATTGCATTATTGCACTGCTATCCAAATAAACCGGGTGATCTGTAAGTGTCAGTCTGACTTAACAGGTATTAATTCTGTAGTTATGTTCAATATTTGCAGTTTATTATTTCAGAGATGATTAGGAGTTAATAGGTTTGGACCCTGGTGTAATTATTGAATTGAGCTTTCTTTGTCTTTGTAGGTGCAAAAAAGAAAAAAAAGATTGCATACTTAAAACAGACAAATGCAGGTTCCCATGAACTGCAGGGTATTGTGAGTAGCATCACACTGAGGTGCATGTAGAGCTCATCTAATCCTGTGGCGAAGGCAAACGTTATCGCCAACCCTGTCAGTACTTGTCTTGTATTTGCTCTACTTACTGCCAGGCATTTCAGTCAGAAACACAATGTTCCCCTTGGATTTATGACAAGAAGCATTTTACTTGTACCCATAAAAGACCGAACAGATGTAGAAACCTCTTTTGACGTACGGCCACAAACAAACTGAGACATAGCTGTTAACTTGGAGGAATTTCAGTCCAGGCAGACGGGGCGTACTGCAGGGTGAATATCAATGTGTGAGTCAGTAGATCTAGACGGCTATCAAACGAGTTCTCATCTAAATGTGTTGACTGATTACTGAAGTGGCGCAAGAGCCCAGTTTGTCTGCATTCCAGGTACATATCACACGCTGGTGATTTTTCCCTACTACAAAAACTTGTGTGATATTTTATAGTTTATGATTTATAGTATAGCAATATCCTTCCCTCAGGTTGGTCTAAGCTAATCGCTCCTAGCCGAGGAACAAAAACCCCTTAGTATCTCTAAGCTTGGAGCTGTAACGACTGGTCAGCGGCCAATATCTCTGTTTGCTCCAGCACTGGGCCTCGGGGTTCACAAGTTATAAAGATGTGACAGATTTTCTCTCTCTTTTTTTTTTTCTTTTTTCTTTCTTTTCACCTCTTGGGGACTGTTTGCTCTCATCGTGATTGTCATAAAAGTAGGGACAGCGAGTCCCACAGTCGCAGAGGTTGAAAACAGCCCAACAAGGGGCTGTAAACCCCAATGATCTACAGTATCCCTTAGTAACAGGAAGAGAAGTCAGACCTACACTTACTGGGTTCGCATTAGATGGATGTGGTGGGTGGTCTGTGTTTGCTGGCTTGTAGCTGATGAGTATGTGAACCCAGACGGACGGTTAAGTGATTACAAAATGAAGAGAGTGTAGATTGATGGAACAAAAGGCTCTTGGAGTCTCTGTGAGGTGATGAGATTGCAACTCCCGAAGGATCCATATGTCCAAGTGGTTTTTGTTTTGTTTTTTTGGTAAACACCAGATGACAGTTGCCATTGTTTGGGAGTGGATTTGTTGAAGCCGATGGTTATTTAGGCCACTCGAGCTTGATCGTGCTGTGGCAGATGGTGATATTGTTTCTTGTACTGCACGTGGATATTCCAATTATCGATTTGTAAAGTTGCGGCTTTGACTTGCTACCTCCCCGTGTTTGGCGCTCGGTTTTATTGGTTTCCATGCTAGACAAATATGGTTGTTTCCTTCCTCTGTCTGCAGGCGGGGAAGGCTATGCTTTCTCAGCATTCCAGGGATTTTTCTCATATCCACTCTGTTGCTGCCAACAGACAATCCCGTTGTCTCCTTTCTGTGTCTAATACGTCTTGCACACTCACTTTTCTCATTCACGTGGTGGACTCCTCCGGTCTCAAAGGGATACTTTCCCAGTGAGATCAGAGGAATGATGGCCATTACTTTTAAGTCACAGTGAAGGGAAAAGGAAGAATAACTTTTTCACCTTGGATTAATAGGTACACATTGATTTAATCCTGAAAGAAATATGTGCAGGGCTTTTATTTTGCTCAATCAATGTTCAGCTCTTGGGACACAGCTGATTTTCTTCTAGCTGTTCTAATTTTCTTCCTCGTGGTAATAGATGCTTAAGCATTTCTAGCTAGTAAAATCATTAGTTCGCGTGACTCTTCACCATACCGCTAAAGAATTATCTATAAAGCATGTCATTATAAGCCATAAAACCTGACAAGATTATGCTAGTCGCAGCCATGCCCAGTGGACTTTGCTTCGCCCTCTCAACAACTAGGATGTGAGTGGTGCTTGGCTTTGGTTTCTTTTTTGGTTCAGACCTGAGCGTTACTTGAGTTTAAGTGGGTTTTAAAGGGACAGCTATTTCTTATTTCATATCCATTAACTTAAAGGACTTACAAGAGACAGCTGAAGCACCAGAGGCTCAGAGACCTCCACCTTTACTCCCAAGTATGAGTCAAACTCTAGAAAGACAGTCCTGAATTTTCCATAAATCTGTTTGATGGTTCCTTTTATTACATCCTTCCTGCCTTGTAGTGTGTTCATTTTTTAATACTTTACAGCTCTAGACTGTAATGAAGAATTTCCAGTATAAATATGTAGTCTCTCCCCGTGACAACATCAGAATTATTTTCTCAGACGTACTAAAGTTTCCTAAGAATTCCCCTAAAGCTGCAGAGGATGTTGGTATTTAAGGAAACGCTTGTCTATGATGAAAAATGCCAAACTTCACTTACTAGCATAATGTAATTCTTTAACCATGGTGGTATTGTGCAAAATTCTGTTTGCTTTTTGAATGTAAGACTGTGATGACCTTGAAGTAGGCCGTCTTCTTGACTCAACTTGTATCTCGCTCCGCATATTGACGCCAGTATCCTGTTTCAACAGGAAAGGCATGAAATATAGGAAGCAAGATGTTGTGGTAATGCAGTTTTGTCACTTTCCATGTCGACTGCAACGCGCTCTGGTGCAGCCCCGCAACTCTTCCGAGGAGTTTGTCCATATATCTGACCCAGATCTCGTGCCAGTGCGATTCCAGAAACATTATGATAGCATAACCAAGGCTTCTGAGTGCCATCTGGTTTCTTTTGACAAACACATGCCATACCACTGAAATCAGATGTTCATAGGAAATTACTAATGATGTCATGTCAATAAGCAAGTAGAGAGATTTGTAACCGTCTCTCCACCACCAACACCCATCCACCACCACAGCTGGATGAGTCATCGGCTCTTATATTCCGGTTTCTGGGTCCCAGTCTGACTAGTAGGCCATCTGTTGCTTTATCTCTTGTATCTTCTTAAACACTCTTTCTTTCTCACTCTCACACAAACTCCGGGAAGAGAGGCCTTGTTAGAGGGGTGATTTAATAATTCAGAACTTGCTGATACATCGGCTGCAGGGGGCATTTCTCCTAGTTGGATAAATAAATGTCTTATGATGCAGTGTTTTTAAGGTGAGTTGGTACTAGGTGTTCAGTTGCAGTCATGTTGGGGGGGGTGACCACATACTTACAGGTTTGAGTTTCCATTTCTCAGAGTAATATTTATGGCTTGGCATCAGCTGTGCTCTGTGTGTGTGTGTGTGTTTTTGAGTGAGTGATGTAAGGACAGACTGTCTCTTGGCCTCCAAATAGCCCTGGAAAGAATAAAAGTGAGCTGGTGCAGAGTTACACAGTCAGTATATCAGAAGTTGCAGATAAACTTGAGGGCATTATTAGTTTAACCAAAAAAAGAAAGGCTGAGAGCAAGTGTGGGGGGCCCTGGATCACCTGTGAGGTTACCCAAGGAAAGAACTTCAAAGTTGAATTCAAAAAGCTGCATTTTGAGAGGCTGGCGAATGCTTTGAAATTCAATAGCATTCCAAAACAGCTTTGCTGCTCTGCCAAAAAGCCTTGAAACTGGCTACAAACTCTTCGGCTAGCCTCGCAGTTGCAAATACTTGAAGCTGGAGAAACGTCGTGTCATTGGCATGATCGCATTTGCACAAAATCATGTGTAACACGTAGAGCGTAAATAAACGTGTATATGATAAGAGCTGGCCTTGTCCCGCAGCCGTCTTTGTGCCGCGCCCGGGCTGTTGTGGGGAACAGTGGAGTGCGTTTCAAGAACATGTTTTCTACTGACGTTAACTGTATTGACAAACTGCTGCAAAGTGAACGAGGTGGGTGTAGGGTTTCTGTCTGCCCCCCACCAACCGAAGGTCTGAGCACAGCAACTTTAACTGCTGTCCTCTCAAGTAAGGGAGCAGCTGCACTCTGAACCTGAGCCAGAAGCACAGGTGTCCGTGTCCATCAATAACCAACTCTCTCTCACACACACATATTCGCCTAATGCAGTCCACAGCGTTAGAACTTTATCTACATCATCTTTTTAAAAGCAAAACCAGTTCAGGAGGAGCACCATGACCATCCCAAACAATGTCATTGGTTCTTTTTATTCCTCCTAGAACAGCGGTCCCCAACCTTTTTTGCGCCACGGACCGGTTTATGTCTGACCATATTTTCACAGACCGGCCTTTAAGGTGTCGTGGATAAATACAACAAAATAAAACCAGTATAGGTACCAAAAAAGGGAAGAATTATTCATAACACATGGGAAAAGACCCAGGGAAACAGAGTTAACGATTAAAAACATTTAAAAAAAAAATAACGATAAAAACCCTGAAAACCATAAAGCCACAACTCTTGCGGCCCAGTACCAAACGACTCCGGTCCGTGGCCCAGGGGTTGGGGACCGCTGTCCTAGAACACCTGCAGGCAGTTTTGTAACACTATCACTAAAGTCAGTAATATATTTTACCCGATAAAACATTTTTCACATCAGCATGGTGAATCGAAGTACTCTTGTTTTATTTCCTCCTATAAAATGGAAAAAATGTATTATGTGGCGACACTATAAAAAGGCTCTAATTAGAGACAAATTATGGACTTAATGGAAGTCGGTCCACCCATTCCTGGGATACGCGAGCCTCGTCTAGTCAAGGCGCAGTTGTCCTGCATCGCTGACAGTTGTCGGAGATGGATTCATTTTTGTTTTTATTTGAGAGGGGAAATGGCCAAATGACCCTAAACTCTGACCATCATATGAATTCTCTTGGAAATTACCACTAAGTGAGCTTCATGATAATCACATGACTGTAATCACGTGGGTAAAAATCCCCAACCTTAGAGTTCTAGGGTTAAAGAAGATGGCCATTTATTGCTTTGTAGTTGTTGGTTGGGGAAAGCTGCTGGCTTTTCCGTTGTATGGGCTTCCTTAATTTCTTAATATACCCCTTGTTAGGAGCTTCGTTGTTAAAAGCTTCCAAAATTCCTGGGGTTTTCTGTCCATATTCTATGGTTCGTGGGTATTTACTGTGTTGGTTAACATTTTAAAACCCCTTTTGATTTAAGGGAGATTAAAGATACAGCTCCCAAGTGGCTTTGCCAGCTTTTCTGTGGCCAAAAACTAAAAGGACATGCTGTTTAACAGTAATCAAATAATTGTTTTGCTCTGGCACAGCGACGAGATGCTGGAGTTTTACTACGCAGTGTAGCAGGGAAGCAGGACTGCAGCTCTCTGTAGTGAACCTCCATGGCATTATGCCAGGATGTGGCCCTTTTTTCCGAACACGTCACATGTCACAGTTGTTTTTCCCTAATGTAAGCTGTTAAAGGCCTTTTTTGAAGTTCTTTCTAAACTAAGAAAAATCTTTCTTAACCCCTCTAATTGCTTCCAGTGAGTGAAAATCAAAGGCAATTAAAGTGATGCTTGAACTTGGCTGTAAAATAAGTGTAACTCGGATTGCCCCTTAGGAATGCATGTCTTCCTATTTTTAGCTTTGCCGTGTTTTGATGCCAGACTGGCTTTAACTTGCGTTGTCTTTGTGGGGCGCAGTCATTTTTCAGCCTTAACCGTCATCTGTTTATGATGCATATTTACACCCCACCCCCACCGACATCGCTGTTTATGTTTAAAGCGTGCAATCAAAGCGGCGAGTGCGACAGCTTAGCCGAACATGCCAGAAAGCTATTGATTGCACCACTCCTCTGAGCTTTTGATGAGCTAACATTTACAGGGATCCATGACATCAGAGAGTAACCCTTGTGGGGCCTTTTTTAAAAAAATTTTTTTTTATTCTTTGTTACAAATCTTGGCACTCCCTCACTTATCTAACGCTAAACACTTGGTTCTTCATTTATTTAGAATATGACACGTCTTTCCATTGGAAAAGCTGACTAAGCCTTTACTGAACACGGCGGGTCATCTCTCTTCTGTAGAGGTGTTGCCAGACGTGCCGTGCACATGTAGAATACCATTACTGCCTCTCTAAACTCTGTCAAGTTTTTCCTGTTGTAACAGGACCATATCCTTGACTCAAGCTCTGACTCAATAAGCCCGCGTTCTGTGTGACAGCCCGAGAGGATGATGTCATACTCCTGTCAGTAAGTGATTTACCTGCCTGCGTGGGAAAAGGTAGATGGTTCTTTCCAGTAAATGATGTGACTATTGGTAACACACGGTCCTTGTCTGCAGCTATCAAGTATGTCTCTGGCAGTCTGCGGTAAATCATAAGCTGCTGACTGATAACGTCATGATGACCCATAATGCCTGTCTCTGCTGGTAAAATGGACCCAGAAGCGCAGACTCTGTGAGCGGATCATCGAGTTTTAATGATCAACACAGCAAAATCAGTTTTGGCTCAGGAGGTGTAGGGGGTTGTCACTAATCACGAAGTTGAAGGTTGGATTCCTGGGTTTTTCTGAGCTGCTTGTTGAGATGTCCTGGGGCAAGATACTGAACACCAAATTGCCCCCAATGCGTCAGCATGTGTGAGGTGCATAAAGCGCTGTCTAAGTCTGTGTGTGTGTCTGAATGTGGCTCACGGCGTAAAGCGTTCAGAGTTAAGTCTAGAAAGTGGCATACTAAAGCAGCCTGTTAATGACTTTTTATGTTTAGGTTGTTGTTTTTATTTGACATGCGTGAAGGGGGGCTGAGCTGAACATGGAAGTCACACAGCTCGATCTTTAAAGGGGGATTTATTAAGCTTTCTTTGACGTTATCTCTAAAAGCAAACTTAAAATGCTCTCTAAAGCAGGGGTGTCAAACATAAGGCATAGGGGCCAGAATAGGCCTAGCAAAGACTTCAATGTGGCCCACTAGATGGTCCCTGTAAAATCTGAAGGAGGGCTTTTCCTACTGAGAAAAAGCTCCCCTGTTTTAAATGAAAGGTTTTTTCCTTCTTCAGTAATTTTACACATTTATTTGTTACAGTTTAAGCCCAGAGAGTCATGCTGATAGATTTCTGTCACTTATTACAGCAGTGTTTCTTTGTTATGTAGAAAAACTGAGACACACTGTTTTAAACGGCTCTTCTGTTTCTCACATTAACCCTTTGTTTACCACGGGCCCACTTGCGGTCCCATTTTACAAGCACCTTTAAATGATTGTAACTCCATTAACGTTTGTGCTAGATGGGAAACTCAAATGGTTTCAGAAGAAGGAGAAGGTGATCTTTACAGGGATATTTGGTGTGTCATGGTAGCGCAAGGCATTCACAAGGTACTGCTGTCTGAACACGGACAGAAACCGTCCTCTCTGCCTTGATGTTACCATGTACGCTTCACATTACCATAGCTGTCTAACCTCCTGTCTGAATTTGTTTCTTATCCTCCAGCTGACGCCGGGCGGAAAGGCAGCTCAGGCTGCCATCGATGTTGGAGACTGGGTGGTGGCGATCGGTGACGCCAACGCAGAGGAGATGACCCATGTGGAGGCACAAAACAAGATCAGAGAAGCGTCAGGCTCCCTCACCCTCACCCTCAGCAGGTTAGCCGTCCGACATCGCGCGATGTAACGAAATGATACGCTTATCTCATTCAAACAGAAGCACAAATCCCCACAAAACAAATGCCCGATTTCATCCTTACTTTGACAAAATAGGACGACATACTTTGAGTGAAACTTGATCCAACGTGACGGATTTTAAATTGGTTTTTAGATTCGGGCACGGCTCAAATAAAGCAAAGTAAATATTTATTGGCAGAAAGGTGTTATTAATGAGGAGTTAACAGGATATCTGGAGAATAATTCAGAAGATTTCATTAGCATCGAACAAAAAAAACCTTCAGGCACATTTATAAAGGATTTGATCCTTTTTTCTTTTTTTTTTTTTTTTCCTTCCTTTCTTCTCAGCAACATTGAATTCTGGCATTTTGTTTTTTGCACATGTGTATTCAATTGAAATGCTATGACATTTCTGCTGCACTTGGATTCACAGAATTGGGGTTGTGGAAGCCGTATTCAGGTGCTCAATTCGAAGCTTTTTTAATTTTTTTTTTTTGAAATAAACGGCCTCATTACCAGCCTCATTCATAAGAGACTTCAGCCTTCACTTCACCCTATTAAAATATGATGGCCTTTTTGCTTGCAGGCAGTTTAAAAGACTAACTTTGTGCCTGTCGGTCTGAAATTAAACTTGATACAAATGAATTATTCACTGCATGTATTTTAATAGTAATGCTAGGTGCGCCATTCTCACTTATTAAAGCAGGGGAATGTCGTGGATTTGGCAGAGGTACAGCCTGTCTGAATCCGTCCTGGCTTACTTCTAACAGTAATATTCTGTCCTTCACATCATGAAGAAGGAAACGCAGCGATGAGTGCCGTCGGGTGGATGTACCGGCCTTTGTTCTGTTCAAATACACCATCTTCAGAGGAACCTTGGGCACCATACTTGCCTCAGTTCCATAATGAAATTAGAGAAACTTTTATTTTTTTCAGATGCAACACTTTGTTGTTAAATGTGCGGCAAGAAAATCTTTTTATTTTGCTTCAGTAATTTTTAATTAGCACTGCGTAACCTTCTATAGGCAGCACTTATACCTGCTCACATACTTCCTGCCAGAAATACTTGACAAAGTCTCTCAGTAGAGTCGAAGCCAGAATGTTTCATCAAGAGCTTAATTATAAGACAGCGAGGGGAAGGTGGGGGGGGAAAAAATCCCTCCCAATGAAGGATCAAACGTAATCATTCAAGGACCTAAAACCTTCAGAAAATGAGAAGTATTGACTTGTTAAGTAACAACGATGGGCCGGCTGCTGTCATGGGACTCATTTTGATTTTGTGATCCTCATAAGTAAGATGAAAATGGCTGTGTTAACGTCTTTGCTTTATTGTTCCTACCAAGAGACTCGACTCTTTAATTCTTACAAATCTTCTTTGTGCGTTTAGTTGAATCCGAGCAGCCACAGGTCATTTATCAGGCTGCTCAGAAGGCAGAGCCATTACGTGAATGAATAGAAGGGAGATTTGGAGATATGTTTATGGCATTTTTTTTTTTTTTCTTTCAAATATTCCAGGTTTTCTTGCATTCGTACAACATAATAGATTTGGGTACTTGGCTTTCCCGCTCTTGTTTCCCTTTTTATAATGTTGATCAGCGTGTTGCTGGACATTAACCTGTATTTCTAAGCATTTTAAGCTCTCTTTCCTTAATTGGACAACCACTTAAAACAGGGTATAATGTCCAGGAATAAAAAGACTTGCTACATCCTGTTGATGTGTTATCAGATCAGTCTTATCATTCATTAAATTATAGTGTACATTACATTCTCCTGGCACTTTATTTGGTATACTTTGGTCGTACTGGGTTGGGCCAGATATGCCTTGAACAATAGTTCATGGTTCAACAAGGTGCTGGACACATTCCTCAGATTTTGCTCCATATTGACATGATGCCATCACACAGTTTCTGGAATCCTTTTTTTTGGCTGCACATTCACGATGTCTACACTGCTGCTCAGTGGATATTTTCTCTTTCTGCTTTCAAAGTCACTTAAATCACCTTTCTCCTCCGTGTTGGTGCTCGGTTTTAACTCCAACAGGTCGTTTTGACCATGTCTACATGCCCAAATGTACCAAGTTGTCGCCGTCTGATTGGCTAATTAGATATTTGCATTATGGTGCGGTTGAACAGGTGTGCCTAATAAAGTGGCCGGTGAATGTAAGCGGTATTGCACTGTGGATATGGATGTCAAAATATAACGTTGCTTTGTATTTGAAAAATATCTGTTTAATTTAAATATGTGGCTTCACAGGAAATGGTGTAATATTTCGACAGAACAGTAACAGGTCAGCGTGTTTACTTTTCTTGCACTCTGTGGTTTTTCCTCCTCCATTTCTCGTCTCCTTGTGGAGTCCGGCTTTTGTAAACATTCTTCTTCCCATGACTCCCCAGTCTCCTCTCTTCATCTCACCCCGTCCGATTGTTATTATATTGTAAGACAAGCAAATATTGTTTTCCTGAAACTCTTTTCAGAGAGGAGCTATTGTCAGTCTTATTTATTCGTATCTTGGCTGCCATCCACAGTTTCTTTTTATGCCTAAAGAGGAGGACAGCTGCGCGATGATGAGATACGGTCTATTGTTTGGTTTGGCGTCTCATTTTGTTCGACACCAATGATCATCTTGTTTAATAGAAAAGGTTTTAGCTTTATCCTGAGCCTTTTTATGGGGACTGGAATCCTCCAAAAAATATGTCCAGTAGAGTTTCCCCTTCACAGGAAAAACATCCCACAGCATCCACGGGGACACATTCGACTCATATTTTAGCCGGCCGCTGGACTGGAGGCTTGTGTTTGGAGAATGTTGGTGAAGTGTGCAAAGTTGATTACAGTATCATGGGAGGTTTTTGTTATTTCTAACTTTATCTAAGATCAGCTTGAAAGCTAAACGTGCATCAGCTAAGATAAGTGACCCATGAAATGAGGTGGGAAATGATCTCATACACCGTGCGTATTCGGTTTCAGCACAAGCAAACTGATTTCTTCCAAAAACACAGATGAAATCATCTTCATATTTGTTCATTTTAGTCCACCTTGCCAAATTAAACGCGGTAACAAAAGGGTCATGGCACGAATTCCCCATGTCCCAGATTTCAAATGTGTCTCATTAACTTGTCAGCCTAGCTAAGGTGAGCTCAAGCACTGTGTCACATCGATTTGTCTTCCAGAAATGTGACATGAGCAGACATGTCAGTATGCCTTCCCCTCGCTGCCCTGTCTATCTGCTCAGCCCTGTTGTCATTCTGTCTTAAACACTGCTCTATTAGCGGCTGAGCAGGCAACAGCATGAGCGGTTATTATTTTCTGTGTCACAGGAAGCGCGGCCCATTGTTTTTGTTGGTGATTATAGCCTCAAACAATGAGTAACTGCAGGGTGGATTCATTCTGGCTTAACCCTATTTGAGCTTTGTGCAGCGTGTAAGCGCTGGTCAAAGGGTGGCGGTGATTTATGTTCAATTATTTCAGGAGGAAACAGAAGTGTAAAGCCGGCCGCCTCCATGTTTAATGCGTAAAGATATATTCTAATAATCGTGTGCTCTGTCGGGGGCGGGGGACACCGCAGGGATGTTAATCCTGGGAGAAGCTTTAAGACCTGAACAGGACTGATTGACCCGCTGTATTCTCAGCCCTCTTAATAAGTTTATTAAAATGAAAATCCTTTTCTTTTCTTTTTTTTCTTTGTGAATCTTAAAACAAAGTACAGCACACAAACTGTAAAAAATTAAACACATTTTTCCAAGTTACCTCTTACGATAATGTGAAGTAAAACTAGTGGAAATATAATGAACAATAAGCACATTTTTTCTGACGTGTTGATTTTTTTCCCCCCTCTTTCTCTTTAGACCCTCCAAAGCGGGTGGAGACCAGAAGGTAAGCCTGCATTTATCTGACTCGCCGAGCTCACCTCAGCGTGGACACTCTGGATGGTTTGGCATGGTGTGCTGTGCTGTGACAGTTAAATTCAAACTTAATTGTTACTCACAGTTTTTCGTGTCACTTTGTGTTCTTCAATTTCATCTGAATCACCTGCCTTGTCAAGCTCTCACAGAGTCCATGCACTCTGCATTAGCCAAGCATCAGCAGGTTGCAAAATTAGCAGTTTGCTGGGCAGTTGTCGCTGATGCATTTGGGATTTCCCGCACAGTCCCTGATACCAGATAAATACTGACGCTTTAAGTCTGTGGAGTCACCCGGCCAGCTGATCAAACTGAACGGTTTTTAGAAAAGCAGCCGGCACATGACACAAACGCAGAGTCACTGTTCTATTTTAATAGTTGTTTATTTTCTTGCTGCAGTCCATGCACAATACTCAAAGAGGAAATCTCATTAGTGAGACACGTCAGTTATAGACGACAATTTGAGCATTTTCATTTTAGCAGCAGTAGCAGATTACATTGGCCAGCAATTGGCCGACTGCCAACACAAATAAAATCTGTGTTCACACTTCTTAAGCATTTTTTTTTCCATGTGTAGAGAAAAGCCCGGAGGCTTTTGACAGAGCCGCCGTCGCAGTACAGAGTAATCTTTTTGCTATAATGAAATATTGGGACTGTGCTGGAAAAGCTTGGGCTTGTGCGACGGCAGATGGAGTTCTCTGTGCGTGTCACAAACGTCTAACTGCATGTCGTGCACTGTGCTGCATTGTCTCCTTCTCCCACACCCTCACAGGACTCGCTTGCTACAGCTTCTGTTCCGCCAAAGTACTCCTTTGCCCCGAGCACGACCATTAACAAGATGGCGAGGCCATTTGCAGCAGGTGGTGCTAGTGCCAACTCAGGACCTGCTATTAAACCTGTGGCCTACTCTCCTAAACTCAACACCCCGTGCTCGCAGGGGCATGCCAGTACACCCCAGCCACAGAATGGGTAGGTGGATGAATAAACGCTATTACCATTGGAACCGCAACGTGACTAATGTGGTTTTAATGGCATTTTTCTGACGTCTCATTATTCTTGTTTTAAACTTAAAAAGAAAATAATGCCTTTAGGAATTTAAAGAATTTAGTCCAATCAGTGCTGCCGTGTGGTGCCAAAGTGAAGTCACAGATTTTTTACATTTTCTTTTAGGGCATGTTAGAGAAAAGAGAGGAGGGCAAATGCAAGCTGACTCACTGTGGAAATCCAATTATTAACTGTGCCAATAATTTGTCTAAACTTAGGCTAATGCTAAACACAGCAGTAGTAGTTGCTGTTGTAGATTGTGTCCTGATTAAGTCTGGTGGTGTTTGTATAGCAGGAAATGTTTAGCTGAAATATGCAGTTCCAGCTGTGGATGAAAGACAGCTGCAGTGAAATCTATCAAGATGACAGAGAAGTATTGGGATTGGTTATATGTGCCAACAATCAGTCACAGTTTTACAGCCATGTTAAACTCTGTGTTCTTTGGACACTGTAGATGCTGTCACGGGTTTTTTCTTTTTCTGCATTGTTTAATCTTTGTTCCCATCATCCTCATTTTGTGTGTTTAACTTAATCTGTTTACTCAGTCACTTTCCTTTTTACGTCTTCTCTAACCTTAGGACGGGGGGAAAAAAACGAACATCATGATTTAAATCTTTAAGATTTATACAAAGACTTTGTTTAAGGCTGGATTCGAGTATAGATTAGAATGAGTAAGCGACAGTGGAGGTGAGTCTTTAGAAAATGATTGCAAGTCGGTGTAATGTGTGGGAGAGAAAAGCATTGTTGTTTTTAATAGTGGGAACTGAAAAGAAGATGCGAAATATTTCTTGCGAAATATTTCTTGCAAAATCATTTCTTTCTTATAACAGATTTTCCATTTCAGCAGATGGGTTATTGATCGAGCGTGATTATTACTCGTCTCTTGCATCTACAGTTAGCAGAATGAAATATGTAATGTTTGACAGATGCAGTGTGGCGCTTGACATTATGATTCTGATGCACAAATCTCACACGCTAATGCTGATCGAGCTGTCACCGAGTCCTGCTCAAGGACACTTCGGTACGTGGAATAGCCGGGGAATGAACGCCGGCCTCTGCTTTTACGGGATAATCTGCTGTACCGCCTGAGACGCAGATTCCCAGAAACAATTTGATGTAGTTTGCTGTAAAAGTGAGCCTTTGACCTTGAAATGTTCATTGCTTTTTTTTCTTTCTTTAACCCGCTGAGTTTTTAATATTTTTTTCCAAGTATTCCTGCAAGAAATGTGTTTTAAATGATCTGGAAAGTAGAAGTTTGGCATGAAATGGTCTGTAAGGATAGGCCGGTCCAGTTCCTTTTAATTTGGGTCATGGCAGCGCTCCGTCTCCAGCCGCTGGTGAGATGTGGTCTGTTGCTGTATTTAGCCTCATACATTCTGTTGGTTTCCCAAGCTTTTCCTGCTCTGCTTTTCTTCTTCTTTGTAAAATCAACTTTTCTTGTTACTCTGCAACACTAATTCCTCTTGTCATGTTTGAAAAGAGTTGAGCGTAATCAAAACCACCAGGTTAATCTGGTGAGGACGTCATCTATTCTTTGATTCTCCACAGTTAATAGTTGGATCCAAAAAGCTGTCTAAGCCCGACGTGTTAGAACAGGTTTAGCATTGTGTTTGGACAGAGTTACCAGTAATACATCACTGCTGTAGCATTTATGATGAGCAGATCCCTCTTGTGCTCCTGTTGCCCGTGAATGAAGCCGAATGGCACAGAAATTAGGTTTAATTTTCCTTTCAAAAGGCTACAGCTGTGTACGTACCTCTGTGAGGCGTTTGTGGACGGGGATGAGAGGAGCAGGAAAGCAAATGTTTTGTGCCAGTCTGAGTCCTTTTGGGTCAGGGTGACAATGGATGATTTGACAGTCAAACAATGCCGTCCTTCTTCCTCCTCTCACAGAGCCTGCTGACAATAGCAGCATATCTCTACACACCTCTCGCATGGTTTCTGCATTTTGCAATGTTTTTGATCGTCTGTTGTGTGAAACCTTTGTCGTGTATAGACGTGCTCAGTTTCTCCTCCCCCTGAAATCTTAACTCTAACCTTTTTCCCCACTCTTTTCTTCTTTTAACTCCACAGATGGAAGCTCATTACAAGTTAGTATGTTTCTTTTCTTGTTGGCATTCACACTTTGTCTCATGACAAAGCTGTGCACAGCCTGATAGTAGTTCGGTTGCATGTCTTTACTGGGTGTGACTTCACAAAACTATTGTATTAGAATAACTTAATTTAAAAGAAGAATGCGAGACTAATATTGTGCACATTTTTAATTAGCCTTAAAGTCAGAGACCCCAAAAAGGAGAATGAAGTTGCAGTTTATCTCCTACTTCACAGTTAAACTATTTCTTATTAGATTGCAGTCTGTGCAAAATAAGAAATATTGTCAAATATCGCCTTCCATCTTCTCGTTCCTATGGTAACTTCACGAGCCTAGTGTTTACGTGCTCTTTGGTCTAATCCACAGGGATGAAGCAACTTACTATGATGATATCTACCAACAGTCCAAGTAAGGGGCAGCTGCATGGTGGCTGTGCGGTCGGCTTTGTAGGCTAATCTGGCTGTTTATGTAAAAGCGAGAAAATGCTGATGCCCTTTTGTTAGACTGAGTGACTGTGTTTACAGAGCGAGGATGGCAGTTCATTAATGACTGTGTCTTTTGATATTTCTCTCGCTTGTTTACGAACGCATGCTGCAGTTGACCTACAGCTGTGCTTAAAATGAGCAGCTTAAAAAGCATTTCATTTGAATGATTAAGTTGTTTATGAAAAATAAATGCCTCTCCTTTTAGCTTTTTTTTTCCTCTTCACATAAAGCCAGGTACTGAAGTGAAGTGGCTTTTCTTGCGCTGATTCTAATGACAGTTATGAGTATCTTCCGTTTATGAGCTTCTGCCGTGTCCCCATGAGAAATCTTAGTAATGGGTGTCCATTAGTGCTGTTATTGCGTGACTCTGATACTAAGCGTTCCTCCATGCGTTTGTGTGAGTGGGTAGTCCCTGGATGTGATTGTGTTAACCGCACCTGCTGTGTACTCCTGCTCCTGGGTGTGTGTGCGCGGCAGGCACGGCCTCAGGGTGGAGAGCATCCCCTGTTTTATTCCCAACGACCGCAGCAAGAAGAGGCTGATTGAGGACACTGAGGACTGGCAGCCCCGCACTGGCACCACCCAGTCTCGTTCCTTCCGCATCCTGGCTCAGCTCACAGGCACCGACTTCAGTAAGTCAGGGCCTAAGACAGAAGTGATGGACTGTTACAGCAGAGAGTAATGGGTTTGAGGGGTGGGCCTCTCTGTTAGTCAAGATAAGGTGTAGGATGGGGGGCTGTTACTAAACGGTTGATGTGATTTGATCTCTGGGACTGAGTGTGACAGCAAGAATGAGTGACACAGAAAAGGTGGATGAGGGGTTTCTTCATTTTTCAGCTGAAGAGAGGTGGCTGGTGTTTTCACTGACATGTTTTCATGTTTTTTTTTTTTTTGTTTGTTTTTTTTTGTTTTCCCTACCCTGACTGTAACCAGTCTGACAAAGGAAGAAACTGCATAGCTAAATATAAGGAATATCATTACTTATTCTGAGGTGTTTGTCAACATTTGTATTAGTGAGGCATTCTGATGTGTGTCTCTCCTGGATCTCTCAGTGCAGGACCCAGATGATGAAAACATGAAGAGGTCCAGGTAAACGGATTGTCATTAATGTGACCGGTCACGTGTTTGTGTTTGTACACTTGCATATGTGGAAGCCTCAGCTTGGCAGCTACTTTGAAAAAAGAAAAGGAACAAAAAACCTCTCCTGTCAGTGTAGTTTAAATCGTGCAGCTCTGCCTCTGTGTACCACCACAATCTGATTTAAGTGTAGACCTGAAGGTCAACTTAAACTGGTTTAACAGAATCATTACACTGATCATTCAATAATTAGACTTTTTGCAATGTTTACAGTGAGATGGGATCATCATTATAAATGTGAGTTTATTCATTAGAAAGTAGCAGGATACAATTTATGTGCGCAGAGCTGTGTTTTCTGCTGAGATTCAGTCAAATGCTGCATAACTGTTCATGAATGGCCAAGTTAGGTCACCTGACCTCGACTAAACATGCTGCTCTCTTACTGTAGACAAAACTAAAAGTAGAAAACCCCACAAAGCTGCAGCGACTGAAGGCAGTTGTAGTAAAGGCCCAGAAAAGCATCTCAAAGGCGGAAACGTGGCATTCGGGGATGTTTATGGTTTCCAGATCCTGCCTTAAAAATGATGCTTCTCAATTTGTACACATACCTTTGGGCCTGTAAAGGGATGGTACTGAGGCATTATATTTATATTAGTGATTTTAGCGTTAATCACGTTAAAATGACGTCACAACCGCATTAACGCCGCAAATCTCCGTTAGCCAGGTGTCAACGGGTTAGCTCGTTAACGCGTTAGCACCGTCCAGCCCCACTCACGGGGCGATTCCCGCTAAATTGCTAACGGAGATCTGCGGTTATGGCGTTAACGTCATTTTAACGAGATTAACACAACAGCACTAATTAATAATGGAAAAAAAAGGTTTCTGATCAGTGTCTGTTAAACTCGTTGAATTAAAGCTAAAAGTCTGCACATCCTGACTGTATCCATGGTGGTGTTGTACAGATATAGCAACCATAATTTTGCTGCTTTGAACATCAGCATGCCCGGTGTGTTTTTGTTCATAGTGTGGTTTTGTTGTTGTTTTGAGTCTGCTCAGTAGCATAACATATTAACTTTTTTGCTGTGTTGCTAAAATGCAGATGGGAAGAGTTGATAGTATTTTAATTTCTGGAGCCATCGTCCAATTACCTTGGTGCATGCAGCAGCAGTATGCTATTCCTCAAAAGTCCCCTTTCATTTTAATTAGTAGATTAGCAGGTTCCTTCTGTTTCCATACTTTTCTAATCGTTATATTTAAGAGTACTAAATGTC